TGGTTGGTTTTTTGACCATGATAGAGTTTATTTAACAGCACAAGAAGCAATTCACTAGATCAATATTACAGTATTACTATGATTTATTATTAAAGCGGATATCAGTTAAACCATATTTCAGCCTAGAATATTGTACGTACGTACGTACGTACGTGAATATCACATCCAATATCTGATACATAATTTAACCCAAAATTATAGGAATCATTTGTTCCAATCGCTTTAAATTAACCAGAACAAAGTAAGGTCGTAATTTGGAACTACAATATTACTGATCTGTATAATATTTATGATGAGACTTTTGATATTACAGTATTAGATTGATAATATTTTTAATTTGTCCGTTTTTGTAATATGATTGGTCAATTTCAAATACCGTACCTCCAAGCTATTTTGTATTTCCGAATTGTATACTGATATTTATATTATTGATATTATAATTACAGAATTATTCATCATCGCTATAAACCAATTTATATATAAACTATACAAAAGAAGATTTATTTTTAATAATGCATAGACGTTAGGACGTGCCCAGACGATTATATATGATATATAAGATAACAAAGAATTAATGAATGTACGTGACTGTGCAACAGAGATCAGGGTCTTATGATTCTTTGATTTATAAACAATATCAATAAGATCTATCTATCACGTGGTATATTAAAATAAGAATAAAAAAAGCGACGCGATACGCTTCTACTAATTTACCTTCAATAAAACTTTTCTCCATATCTAAATAAACTAAATACTCGTATTCTAAAAACTCTTTCAACTTTTAATATCTACACAAGAAAAAAAAAGATGGGTAAGACTACAACGACAAAGACTGAAACCAAAACCAAGCCAAAGGCAGAAACGAAAGGTATATATTTATATAGCGTGTTTCGTTAAGAGAAAACAAAAAGTTTATACTTCACCTTTAAAAAAAATAAATAGAAAAAAAGCCTCTATCCGCGTATAATATGTTTATGAGAACTGAACTTCCTAAAATCAAAGCCGAGAAGCCTGGCCTCGATCACAAAGAAGCTTTTAAACTTGTCGCTAAAGCCTGGGCCTTGTCGTAAGTTCTTGCAAAAAAAAGAAACTAAAACTTCTGTTTTAGTTAGTTATAACGCGTTTTTTTAATTATTTTTAGAGCCGAAAATCCCAAGAACAAAAAGCAAGAATGAGTACGGACTTTCAAGATATTATAATAATATTTCTGCGTTTACTTTTGCACGTTAAGTTCCCTCCAATACATACATATGTATACAAATTATGTAAACCTTTGTAATGAGAAAGAACATTAAAAAGTAATACGTATTCTTAAGTTCGTTACACTCTTTATTTCGATTGCAATGTTTTTTAAAAAAAGAGTCGCGTAAGATCGACTTAACGCGATTGTATTAAAGGTTGATAATTCAATTATAATATATGTTTCTATAACATATGATCTTTTTTATGTGATTAGTTTCGCTTATGTGACTGATGTTTGTTAATAGTTGAATCTGTCTTGAAATGCCTTTTATGCCTTAAAATCTATTACATCATGAATTATTTTTTTAATATTTTTAAAATATCAAAATTGTTATGTACACGGAGTTATTCCTTTGAATTGAAAGATTGCGAAAAGTTGTTGAGATTATTAGGATCAAGACCAGATTTCGAAAGGTCTCGTGATTTTTTGTATAACATTATCATTTAAGTTTAAATACCTACGTACGTACCCAATTGGTCTTTTGGTGAAGCCAGATCATCGAAAGTTTGAGAATTATTAATCAGGATGTCTAGCGTGGACAAGCCGTAACATAATTTAAGTTGACTGTTTGCTGTTAGTATTTTTTAGATTAATATTTAAGTTGACTATTAGTATTTTTTGATTAATATTGAATGTGATTAACTATTCTTTAGCTTAATCATTGTTGCTATTAGGGAACAAGTAAATCAGATAGGTATTCGCTTTTCGCTTTGCTGCTGAAAGATGACAAACAAGTTGTCTTTTAGGCATAGTCATATTGCAGGGTTATGGAAAATTTAACATACTAATATTAATTAAGATTAAATTTTCTATTATGGCGTCTTATGAGTAGATGTTCAACAAACATACGACCGTGGCTTTTAGCTGTATTTTTGTAAAGTGGATGATGTAACATTTTTTCAGGACATTACAACGTCTTTCATGGTTTCCGCTAGAAACGATCAAGTACCGTATATTTAAAAAACGTTACAGCCTGTCAAGACAAGTTCTCTTTTTTTTTGTCTGAAATTTGTTGTATTTCTTAATATCTGTCATCAATAACCTTAAGACATGCAAATATGTTTTAGTATTCCAATTAAAAGCTATTTCTAGATTCATCATACGAATACAAATTACGTTCAAAAGTGTAAACTATGATTTATTTTAAAGCTTCGATCCTATTTCTCAGACCACGGATTAAATTCGAATCTTCTTCAACGCATCCGCACGATAATTCGAATTTGAGTAACTTCGGATTAATGTTAAAGTTGAATTAATGTTCAGACAAGCAGCTAAGATTACTGGATATTATGAAGCTAGCGATTCGAATCGGCACTATCTGGATCAACTTTTCATAAATTAATTGTGAATTATTCATATTTTAATTAATGTTACCGTTACTAGTTCGTTTAACTTGATTAACCATTTTATTTATGTTATACAGTTAAATGAGACGATTAAGCCGTTAAATAATCAAAATTGCATTTTTTGAAGAGTTTTAGGATCAGAATTAATATTGTAACAATCTGATGAATTTGCGAATTTGGGTCGTTGTCCACTACAAATTTTTATTATCAAAAATTCTAGATCTGTGATGTAAGGCTTTATTATATTATCAATATTGCTATGTATTTTGCAATACGTTACTGCTATAAAGGTTTATATAGGTATATTCTGCTTTGTAAATTAAAATATTTTAATTAGTTTTAATTTTTCCAATAAAGGTTAAAATTTTAATTTTTAAAAATTTGTAAATTGCTATTATTAGTATATTGGTTTTTTTATCTATTTAGATAGTTTTTATAAAAAAATTGAATTGTATATTATAATTATATCTGTGATTATTTAATTTGCAGGTTTGATATTATCTAGCTAATTTAAAAATATCTAAATACAATTTGTTATATTTTATAAAATTATAAACTAAAATTTTTGTTTATAAACCAATTTTTAAGCTCTAATAAAATATATTTTTTGTAAAATTTTATTATAAAAACAAATTTAATTGTAATAATAAATTTTTTTTTCAAATTGGGGTAAATCAACTCTTATCACTAATTATCAAAACACAAATTTATGAAAAAAACAAAACAATGAAAACCACAAAAAAACACTCCAAGGCCACTAGAAAACTAAACTCAAAGCTCTAAGAAAAGAGGAAGAGAACAACAAAAAATACTCAGTCTCTTAGAAGACTTGAGTAGAAGAAGCAGTACTAGCAGAGAAATAGAAGAAGTCATGAAAAATCATTGATATTTTTTTTGCACTTTACGAATTTTTGGGAAATCAGCCTTGACTCTGAATCACAGATCTGTTTTGGTGATACAAAAACACAACATATAATGAAGAATAAACAAAGAAAAAACAACAAAAACCATGTGATGAAAGTAAACAATACCACTAAACACGTGCAGCTAACAACAACATCTTTTGACAACAATAAAAAAACAGCAAGTCATATGAAGCAAATACTAACAGAATATCTGAAAAAGAAAATCAAGATATCTGAAAATATGAAAGTAATATTAAAAGAGATTCAGACTCTAATAGCAAAAATATCTAAGAAAGAAATAAATAAGCAAGTAGAGGAAATAATGGCAGAATATATGGAACAAAAGCTCTTTCTAAAAAAGATAGCTGATAAGTGAATAAAAAACCTCTACAAAGAACTATAGCGGTATAACAGAGGAAAATTAGAATATACAACATCTGAACTTATAAAAAGAGACCACGAAACTTTTTATGAAGCAATACAAAATAGTAAAAACCCTGTTAACTGCATCATAAAAGTAAAAATATTTGATATCTTGGAGGAAGTAAAAATAGGTGATGGAATAAGAAAAATACTAATAGATAGAGAAAAGCAAGTTGCTGAAATAAAGATGAAAATAGAATTAGGTTAGAGCAAGAGATTTCAAGAACAAAAAGAAGCCTACAAAAAAATATAACAAAACAGCCCTGAAATCTATAGTACAGCAATTCAAAGAATCTATCAAGTCCTTTATAGCAGCATATTATGAGACTAAGAAGAAAATTAAAGAAGCAAAAAATAAGAAGATACAAATCTTGCAAAAGAAGAAACAAGTAGCTAAATTAAGTCAAAATTAAAAGCAGGTTAGAACAAGAGACTTCAGAAACAAAAAAAATTCGACAAAGAAAAACAATGAAATGGTATTAAGGGCTCTGGTTGTATAATTTAAAGTATCAGCCGAACTAGAGTTAGCAAAACAAAAGAGAGAAAAAAAAAATAGCTAAAGAAAAGAAAGAAAAGAAAACTAGAGAATAAAAGACCAAAGGTTTTGTTAAAGTTAAAGAAGAAGATCTAGACAAATTCCAGGAAGACCCAAGTCCAAAGGCTAAATTAATAAACCCAATAAAATAGTTGATCGAAGTAATATATCAAATAAGCATTAAAGACTCACAGACTGATGACAGAGCATAGAAGATAAAAAAGAAAGACCTGCTTATAAAATAAATATAGTGTTTGAAGGCCCAAAGAAATATTGATGTGAAATAGATTCAAGATACTTTGATATACAAGTAAAAGGAACCAAGAATTAGAAAAAGAAGAAAAAGGATATGTTACTGAAGATATTAGAAAAGATTTTTGTAGAAAATTTTAAAAACCAGAGAATTTAGAATGAAATTCAAGAGAAACTTTTGGGTAAAAAATTAAAACCTAAAAGAAAAAAGAAAAGAGAAAAGTAAAGAAGAAGAAAAAAGAAGATCTACAAATTCAAACCATGAAAGAAGAAGAATCTGAGCAGACCATCCAAGACTCAGAAGTGAAAAGACCAAAGGAAGGCCCAAGACATTTTGAAAAAAGAAGACTTACAGAAGAATATACTTAGAAAAACTCATTAGAAGAAGCTCTCAAGAAGTAAAAAATATCATAATACTACAAAACAAGAAGAGAAGACTATTGGAAAAAATATAAGAAGACTTCTGAGATCTGGGCCACTTATCGAAAAAGACAAACTAAACTAGAAAAAGAGGAGGAGAAAATGTAAATATAATCAAAAGAATTCTGGTAACTTTTCTTTATTGAGAGATAAAATAGAATTACTTGTTAGAAAAAAATTAGATTTAGATTATTGTTTTAAAAAGAAAAGTAGTTTAGTAAAAGAAAATTGCCAATTAGATATAGTTAAAAATTTTTTTGATCTGAAACCATCTTGTTATGATTTTGCTAGCTAGCTTGGTATAGCTCTCGGAGTGGGCAATAGCCTTAACTAGTAAGGCAGACTGTACTTGAGCACTCTTTAGAACAGCTAAGTGATATTAGATTTACAATTTAGATAGTTTTAGAATATTTTGTACATTTACTTTAATTTAATAAAAGATACTGTAAGGCTGTCAATACAATAAAAAAAAATAAAAAATAAAAAAAATAAATAAATTTTTTTTTTAAATCTTAAAGATAAGGTTATGCTTTAACTTTATTGTATTATATATCTTATTTGTAATATTTATTTAATATAACTAGTAAGAATAAACAAAAATTTATATAGCTCAAACTTTAATTTTAAATTTTATTAATTAACTATATAGATATTATATATATATATATTAGCTATTATAAATATATTTTTTTTAGACAATTTCTATTTGGACACTAGGTGTATTAATATTTAGTTATACAAACAAATAGAAAAACTAATTAAAATATTCAATTAAATACATATTGTAGATCATTTTTTTGTGCAACAAAAATAAAGCAAAAAACAAAAAATCAATAATATCTTAAAATTTTGTATATAAAATTATCCTTGGGGCTTTAAGAAAAAAAATTCCTTGCAAAATTTTAGTATAAAATATAATCTGCCCCAATATTAGTTCCTAATACTAACCCTGATATTAGCTAAATTATATTTTATTTATTTGTTTATTTTGATAAAAATTAATTTGATTTATATATTACACAGACCCGTGTTTCAAATACCAGGTGTTAAA